TAAATAGGCAACGGGCGGGGGGGGCAGGCATGGTGGCTCACGCCTGTAATCCCACAGGGATAGTAATTAGTAAGGCATAGTAATTCTGGACAGCATCTTGTGCAATATTAGTGCAGTAGTTTTTAAATAGAAAAGGCAAGGCCCATCTAGAAAACACTTGGAGGCCAAGGCAGGTGAATCACCTGAGGTGACAGGTTCGAGACCAACCTGAACAAGAGCAAGACCCCATCTCTAAAAATGGCCAGGCATTGTGGTGGGTGCCTGTAGTCCCAGCTACTTGGGAAGCTGAGGTAAGAGGATATCTTGAGCCCAAGAGTTTGAGGTTGCTGTGAGCTATCACTACCAACCATGACAAAGTGAGACTCTGTCTCAAAAAAAAAGTTAAATAAATAACTAGGCAGCAGGGAATGGTTGCTGTGGCATCCTGTGAAAACTACCTTACTTCGTTTCTCTAATTATTCATTCTAGGACAACCACTTTCTACACCCTCTCTTTAGGACTCAATGCAGCTTGCCTCTTAAAATGATCAAAGAGACCCTGACCAATGCCCAAGTCGTAGGGAGCATATGTAGTAGTTTCTCACAATTTTGGGCTCTGCGTTCAGCTAAGTAGGAATCATAGCTCTATCAATTATTGGTTGCACAAGATGTCAAATGCTTCAAACCCTCTTTCCTTATTTATAAAATGGACATAATAAAATGGCAATCTCACGGGGCAGTTTTGAAGCATAGTAGCTAAACCAAATTCTCCATGTTTTTATGCCATTTTCCTTCTTTTTCACAGACTTCGGTTGCCATTTTGTATTGCTTTGACAGAGCTTGATCAGTTCAGAATTTGTTTCTATTTTCTTGAGAATATCTAAAGTATAATCAAAAAAAATAACCAAGTCTTCTCTGCTTTGCCATTGCCTTTTATATTTAAAAATCACTTCACTATCTTGCACAAGATGCTGTCCAGAGTTACTATGCCATTGGCCCACCTAGAAAACACAGAGATAATATAAAAGATTATTTAGGATGTTCACTTAATTCCATAGCTATTAACTTTTTCCATGTGTTTACTGCACACAGAAAATGCAAAACAGCAATTACTGATCATAAGTTCTATCCTTTAAAAACTAGCTTTTAAATTTGAAATCATAATCACATTACTATTCAAAGGTCTGTCAAACCCAAAAGCGAAAATTTCTTTGTGCAGGGGGCTCTTTATTGGCCCTTACTTTTTAATATGTGACGACAGTTGGATGAGACTGTGTTGTGTACATCCTCCCAAAGATAAGCATTTGGATTGATCTGCCTGTAATAGCACAGTTTTTTTTAGTATTCTTTGCTATTATAACGGGATAACTAGGTTATGCTTATTTTAATCCCTTCATTTGGACTCAACAATGTCAAACTGGATGCAATTTGCTGAAAATTAGATAGCTAAATAATTCTATTTTAAGCCAGATTAGAGCTGAGCCCTGTTCTATTTCCTGATATGTATTAGGTGGTTTGATATGTGGCTGTATAATTTATCCTGCTTGAAATGGTAATTTTGTTCACAATATTATAATTGTCATAATTCCATTTCCATTTCAAGTTTAATTCCATATCAGTCAAAAGCCACTTCCACGATTCCCTGGACTTGGAGATGTTGGCTATCTTCAGTTTTCACTCCCTGATCTGCTTGCTGCCTTCATCCCCTTTCATAACCATGCCTGTCCATGAATTTCAAAACGTGTCTCTGGGTAAATACTCTGAAGCCTGCGAGTATGCATCTGAAATGAGCACGTTTTAAGCCATGTCCCCACCATTTGATTGTAAATGTTCTAACGTTGCCCTAGTTTTCCTTTCTATCTGGTACTTTGGGGACATAAATAGGAATGTCATTAACAGGTGATTTGTGATTACTCTCTGGGGAATGGGAAGGACATTTAAGAAACTATAATCAGGCATGTGGATTTGGTGTCCAAACGCGGCCACACACACTTGTTTAGTATAGTTTATTAATTAGCAACACAACCCATTTTATTATATTTATGGGCCATGCACAAAAGAACATTGTGTTTTTTAGTTTGGAAATGGATGAGGAAATAAGTCAGGTCTTGATATGTCACCTAAGGGTCCCCTGGTCAGCTGTCAGGGCAGTGTGGAGGGGACACGCTGGGCTGAGCCACAGGAGAAGACATTTTCACCCCCACTTCTCCTTCCTTCCCCTTCTCTCACTGTTACCATCTTTTCTTTCTTTCTTCCTCCCTCCCTTCCTTCCTTCCTTCCTTCCTTCCTTCCTTCCTTCCTTCCTTCCTTCCTTCCTTCCTTCCTTCCTTCCTTCCCAGCGTCTCACTCTATCACCCTCGGTAGAGTGCCATGGCATCACAGCTCATAGCTAACTCTGGGCTTAGGCGATTCTCTTGCCTCCGCTTCCCGAATAGCTGGGACCACAGGCGTCCACCACAACACCCGGCTATTTTTTGTTGCAGTTTGGCTGGAGCCGGGTTTGAACTCACCACCCTCGGTATATGGGGCCAACGCCCTACTCAGTGAGCCACAGGTGCCGCCCTCTTTCTTTCTTTCTTTTTTTTCTTTTACCTGCTTCTGAATTTCTTTTGACCAAAAATACTTGCTGGAATTTAGGGAAAAAATAGCTCATGGATGGCTGGTCAACAAAAAGCAATATTTGACATTTTAAAATATTTACAGATGGTTTTTAAATTTGTTCCACCTGGGGGTCATACCCAGTGGATGGTGCTTGAGTAGCCGAGAACACAGCCGGGGCTGCTCCTTCCCTGACTGGTGACAGCCTCTGCTGCAGATCCGAGGACCGCCAGTAATAGGAATCTCGTTCTCATTCTCAAAAGAATTTCTCACTGTGGTTGATTGGTTAAAGATCTATCTTTTTTTTCTCCTCCTGAAGTTTTCCACATTCTACTTTCTTTTATTCGTGCTCTTTCAATCTATATAGAACAAATAAGATACAAACTGATTTTCTCTAAGAACCAGGGGAATATTTCTAAAAGCATAACATTATACCTCTCGCCTAGCCTACATACATGCCCACACTGGGAAGGGCGCAGACATTGTCAGTCAGACGTGGCTGTCACCCTCGGTCCATCTTTCCCTGTGTTAAGGTCAGACCCGACATCTAGCATTTCTAAGCCTTAGTTTGCTCACTAGTAAGGTGAAGATAATAACATTGATTACCTTAGCAGGGGAAAGTTAGCTGGTAAACTGCTCCCTGAGCATGACAGTTGCCCTTGTTTTAACCTTCATGACCTGAAAAGATAGACGTGGACCCCACTTAGATGGAATCACTTGGTGATTTATTTGCACCTGCACAGGGGGCCACTGCTCTGAGAGACAGGCGGCCTTGAAGTGCAGGGCAAGTTGTCTTTTATATTATTTATACTTTTTTTTCTTTGCGTGACTTAAGCAAGCAGGCAGACAAAAGCTAACCATTGTGGTTAGCTCAGGGCAGGGTTACGGCTTGGTTTACAATGGACACATCTTAAGTCACAATGGGTATAGTTATGTAACAATGGTTATTGCTTGGGTAGCACAGCTTAGGTAGGTTTCAACCATTGTTCATCCACTGGGAACTTGGGGATTTTTGTGAAACTTGGGGCTTCCCGTGTTCTGAAGGCTTTTCTAGGAATTGACCCTGGGGGGTGGGCATGGGAATGGGCTGAGAACTTGCCCGGAGCACCCTTATGCTCAGCCCTGCAGAAGGGTATTGTTCACTTTATCATTCTTCCTTGCAAAGCTGATTCCATAATTAATGAAATTGGTTTTGTTATATGACCTTAAATTTTATTCAGTAATTTTAGGTTTTTCTTCCCTATGGACTTTTTATCTGAGTTTTTTCCTCTCCTTTTTTTACTGTATTCAGACCTTTAATAACTGTATTTTCATTGACACCTGAGTACATACATTGGCGTGAAACTTTCTCTGCATTTTACACTTAAGTAGGATAACCATGTAACTGTTATCCAATTTCCCCAAACTAGGAAACATAATATAATGGATGAAAAAATAAAAATATTTGTATCTATCATAAACAGGAGAAAAGCAATCAACGCAAAGCAAAGCTTCTCTTCTCTATTGAGAGAATATGGCCATTAGTATTCCCAGTTTAGGTTTATGTAAAGGCTAATAATGTCTTTGGAGCTCTTTATAAATTGTTTAAAGGTAATAAGATATTTTAGGAGTAGTAGTCAAATGAATTTTCAAAAATGCCACAATATAATAGCAAACGATTCTAAATTATTTTTATTTTCTTCTAAGTTAGTAGCCACTGCTGGTTCAGTGCTCAGATCAATATGATGACAGAGATCCTGGTTGTCTGAATAGTCCTTTGGAATGTTGAGCAGCGCCAGACTGTTAGACTTAGTTGTGAAAGTTATAGTGAGGTTGAAATTGGATTAGAATATTTTTTATAAACAGCAGTAATATGTTTTGTGTGCCTAACATAATTAAAAACAATCACTTGCTAAACTAATAAATCTCTTGTAAAATGGTATGACCATCCAGTTGGGGTAAAAGCCACTTTTAAAATTTGTTGGCAATTTTTTGGACTAAAATTGGTGTTTCTTTATTATTTATTTATTTTTTGTAAAGCCATACATGAACTTGCTGATGACATAACATATGATTGCAGCCTTGTGTTTAGGGATTTAACAATTATTGTAACAGCAACCGAATGAAAACTGTCCCCAGGCTCACTTGCACTAATCCCCATTGTAAGCACTGCCGTTGTACAACTCTGTGTTACTTTCCTGGGAATATTCACATTTCACACATGAGTGGCTTTGTGGACATTCATGTCATGGGCAGAGATCACATGGTGAGAAGTAGCAGGGTGACACTGTGGTGACCCCAAATGCCTGTTTTCCTCCTCCAGGCAGCTCTGTTTCATGGAGAGACACTATTCTGGGAGACTGGTAAAGTTTTCAGTACTATTTTTAAGCATTGAGTTTATACATTGTGGGATGAACTTCTATTGGTTTTGCGTGTTTTTTGTAGGTGCTCATATTCAGTTCCTGAACTTTTCTACTGAAGCGAATCACGACTACCTAGAAATCCAGAATGGCCCTTACCACACCAGCCCCACCATCGGGCAGTTCAGCGGGGCCGACTTGCCCGCGGCTCTGCTCAGCACCACGCACGAGACACGCATCCACTTTTACAGCGACCATTCCCAGAACCGGCAAGGGTTTAAACTCGCTTACCAAGGTACGGAGTAAAAAAAACTAAATATGCTTCTTACACTTCAGTTATGTTTGAATGTAAATCTCCCTAACTGGCTAAAAGCACGTATGGTTAAAAAACAAAACAGAAAACAGTGCAGTTGGAATTATTCTTAGTGGGAGTAGCTGGTTTCTGATTAGAAGGCCTTGGTGGTTCTTGGACACACAGGAAGGACACAGACACTGGGCATGATGGGGCTGTCATCCAAGTTTGCCCGCTCTGCTGGCCCTTGCCCTGACACTGTTCTGTGGCCATTGGCGTGGACCTGTCCAGCCACAGTGTCATTATTACACAGGCTTCTTATCAGTCACTGTGTCCCTCTTGGCTAGTGTCCCTTCACTGTGTCCCTCTCGGCCAGTGTCCCTTTAGGGTGTTGCACTGTACGCCCTAAATCTAGAATGGAAGTGGTATGGCACTGTCTCTCATGCATTGACGGTTGCATGTACTGCTCAAGGCATGTGCAAAGCATTCTAGAAAAAGACAAAAATAATGCAGTGGAACCTCTGTAAGTTGACCACTCAAGGGACTGGAGCAAACTGGCCAGCACACAGATGAGGCCAGCACACAGATGAGGTCAGCACAAGGAATGAAGTCTACTGTGCTGATGTGGATACGTGACACCTGTTCAGTCTATGAAAATCTTGTCAACTTAAGGAGGTGGTCGGTGTAGAGAGGTGTCAGCTGTGCAGCTGCTACTGTAGCTATTGACGTCTTTTTGTTAATCTAGTCAAATATGCAATTTCTAAAAATAGTTTGAATCAATTATGAGCAAAGCATTTTTTTTGACGTGTGGAAAAGTTTAGCATTTTAATTTCATATAAAAATTTATCTGGCCTTTTTCTGAATATTGCTAAATCAAGTGAAGTTGAATATTAAATCTAGAGCCTATATTTTTTCAAACATGACTAAATCACTTGCTTTCCTTACTCTCAGAGACTGACCTCAGAAGCAGAGCTTTCATATTTTATTAGTGAACGAGGCTAGTATTTTCTATTGGGTTCAGATATTGTTAATGAAATTCTCACCTAAAGTATAAAAGATAGACATAGACTTCCAGAATTGAGGTCTATTAAATAGAAATCCCGGTCTCAGGATAAAAGTGAGGAAGCTAAAGGCTGGACCAGTGAGCAGTGTGTCCGCAGGCACTGCCCGAATTCCTCTACAAGCCCTCTGTGTCGTTCATTGTTTCTAACCTTTATTTTCCTCAATGTCAGCAAAGATATCAGTCCCAACTGAAAGACTCATGCACACACACGCACCCAGCAGAGAAAGAGCATCAAGGGGAAGCAGCATCCCACAGCAAAGTGGGTGCAGTTCTGTCTGATGTGCTCCTGTTTGCTGCTCTCTTTCTCCTCCCATGGAGGGTGGTCCAGTAAGGTGCTCTGAGCTCCTTCTACGCTTTCTGAAGCATTAGAAATCTACTGCATTTGTAGCCACTGCCTCCCTGCTGCACCTTCCCAATAGTGTTTGAATTTAATCAAATCTCTCTCCCTCCTGTCTTCTCTCTCTTTCCTACTTAGCTACAATTTTTAATGAACCCTTAGCTTCCTCTCTAGTCTACTTCCTACTGATTTTTGGAAGGATGGTCCACATCAGCCTTCTCTGGTTCCACACCTGTTCCTTGTTTCTTTTATCCATTCTTTTTTTTTTTTTTATTAAATCATAGCTGTGTACATTAATGCAGTCATGAGGAACAATGTGCAGGTTTTATATACAATTTGAAATAATTTCATCAAACTGGTTAACACAGCCTTCATGGCGCCATCTTAGTTATTGTGTTAAGACATTTATAGTCTGCATTTAGTATTCTTACCTATGCAAGATCTATACAAGAGCTTCTCTTTCCATAGACATCCACATCACTAAATCTCAGAGATACACGTCATGTCTCCTGAATCCTGGTACCACCTGGCACTGCGGCCACTTCTGACACCCTGTCTCTTGGCATCAGGGTCCCCACGGCTTCTTGGTTCACAGAGGCCTCACTGGATAAGTCCGATTCTACTGGTTCCTTGACCTCTTCCCTTTCTCCACACATCCTGGATTCCATGACTAGGATCATCATTTGCAATGAATAGCTCTGGTCTCTGTGCCTGCAGTTCAGGGTCCCTGTGGACGTGGGGATGGGATGTCAGTCCTATACCTGTGCATCTCCATGGGGTTCCACAGGCACTGGGACCCTGTGTCCAACCCTGCCCAGCTCATGCTGCAGCCCCTGCTCTCTGAGTTTGGGGTGCAACAGCCCTGTAACCCACCAGCCTCCCCCTGTCACCACCAGCAGTTCTAACTGCTCCCAGGTCCTTTTCCTAGAAAACTGTAAAACACTTAAAGTTCTCACCCGACTTACTCTTCTGACTTCCCTCATCTTTTCAGAAAGCAAAATGGTTTATCTCTTTTATGATGAAAGCCTTTTTCAGGCTTTCTTAGATTCTGAGAATCTGGTTCAAAATCTAGGACCCCACACACACACACCTGCTGCTGCTCCCCATCCTCATCCTCTGCAGTCCTGGTGCTGTCTGAAGTGTCCCGGGGGCCACAGGCCTTTACACAGGCAGTGGTCTCAGCTGGGATGCTCTCCACCTCCACCCACTCCCCGTGGTTAATGGTTCTGCACTCAGCTCTGTGTGAGCCCGGAAGGAGGCGACCTCTGCTTGCCTGGTGGGGACAGACAGCCTCGTTCAGGAGCTCAGCATCTCCCCGTGTGGCACTGTGAGTGCTGCCCACCATGTCTTTCCCACCCTTCTGTATCTGGGGAACTGGACCCTTCAAAATCAAGTGTGGTGCTTTGGGTCATGACATCTGAATGAGTATCCCTGGGGACAGAATCTGGAGAGACAAAATTTTGGTTGCTTGAATACAGCCCAGTCTCCTGAAGCCCTGGGCAGCAACAGGGGCCTCCGTCCCACCTTCCCTCGAGTGTCTGTGCTCCAGGTGATTCCTCGTGTCTCATCTCTCATTCTGTCTCATCCCTTTTATTTCAGGTAATTAATACAGAAACATAGGGGCTAAGGTCTGGAAAACACCTGGCATAAGTTGAAGACCATTTACTTTTCAGCATTTCTGTACAAATTTCAAAGCTACACATTCACCTCTAATGTTGTAAATGGTTAAACAACGTCCCTATGAAACCGAAATTTCTGTTTTCTTGGTTTTTTACATGAAAAGCCACACTTCAGTCTCTTGGATTCTTTATATCATTACTCTATCATCAGTGGATGGAGAGGACGGTAGCCAGTGACCTCTCTTTCTCTTGTGACCGATCGTGTGCAGCCTGGCTCTGAGGGTCCCTGGCTGGTTTTCAGCAATGACAGGACAGGGAGGCTGTGCAGCTCCTGCTGAGCTGGCTCTCCACACCTTGGCTTTGCTGCTGCATTAGAGGACGGTCCCCTGTCACCCTGTGTACACGGGGATTTGATACTGAGATTGAGAGGTGGCGGGGGCTTCTGCCACACAAGGCATTGGTATCCTCTCTAGCAGAGCCTGTGCTGGTGGCCACGTAGCTTTAGGATCACAGTATCAGGACATTACACCTAATTTATGGATTAGTTAATTCTTACTAATTTATGGGTAAATTTTTAAATCACACAAGCTGCCTGCACATTTATTATCTGTCATTCTACCGAGAGTTTATTCTAGGGGACATAAAAGACTTAATGATAAAGCACAATAAATCATCTGTTATAAACATTTACTGATAGTAATTGCTAGCTCAGCGATCTACAATTTAGTTGTTCTTTTTTTAAGGAAAAAAAAACTGAAGAAAATAAAAATTTTTTCTGTTTCTGTGTCAAGCAATTAGTTAAATAAAATAATACAAACAAATATTCTTTTCCTAGTTAGAAGTTCTTAGAGTGGTAGTGTACTTCTCATTTAAATTAAAAGGAAATTACTATGCGTTTCTTTCCTCAGTGTCCTGTAGAGGCCCTTTTTATTATTTTCTCTATTAATTTTTTAAAAACTTCAAGTCATATATTTTCTTTCCAAAGTAAGCATTTTCAAATTTCTTTTTGGTTTGCACTCTTGTCTTTCTAAAGTACACAGTAAGTGTTCATTAAACACATGTGGTGTTTAAACACCAGTTAAACACCAGTGATCATTTTACTCAATGTAGATGGCAGCTATTTAATAAAAGACATTTTTAAAACCTTATATCCAACATGTAATCTTAAGAAGCTGCAAGTAGTCCTATTCCTTCCCCAAATTGCAGACACGTTTAACCTCTTGTCTGTATCTTTGTTTCAGCCTATGAATTGCAGAACTGTCCAGAGCCGCCCCCATTTCAGAATGGGTACAGGATCAACTCGGATTACAGTGTAGGACAGTCGGTATCCTTCGAGTGTTACCCTGGGTACATCCTGATCGGCCAGCCTGTCCTCACCTGCCAGCATGGGACAAACAGAAACTGGAACCATCCCTTTCCAAGATGTGATGGTAGGTGAAATATTTTCCTTGGGAGCCACTTAATTTTTTCATGGACATAATAGTGCCTTGAATATTTAATGAATATATCCAATAATTCATTAATTTATTCAACAAATATTTATTAAGATTCTATTATAACACTGGACTTACTATTTCAGGAATTATCCTATACTGGTAAGTTTAATTTAAAAAAGCAACCTTCATTCCCCAGGAAGTTATAAGGATATCAAAACAACAGACACACATGATTAAAATGTAAAAGGTGACATAAGGACAGTGTCATCCCAGTTGTGGGTAAGGACATGACTTAGGGTGGGAATTAATCAGAGAAACCTTGGCAGTCAGCCGAGTTTAGCTTTCCAGTGGGTACATTAAATGGTGGGATCAGAGGGGAAAGGGTACTTATTAATTTGACCCTGCTTATTTTTAGTTGTTTAAGATTTATGATAAACATATATAGGTTCTGTATTTCAGAAAATGGAGGTGGTAGAGTGCTGTGGCATCATAGCTCACAGCAACCTCAAAGTCTTGGGCTCAAGTGATTCTCTTGCCTCAGCCTCCCTAGTAGCTGGGACAACAGGTGCCGGCCACAATGCCTGGCTATATTTTTGTTTGTTTTGTTTTGTTTAGCAGGCCCATGGCGGGTTCAAACCCACTAGCTCTGGAGCATGTGGCCAGTGCTTAAACCACTGAGCTATGAGCACCCACCCCCAAGTTAATTTTTGTATCGGGCCTGAAGAGTTCTCTATCAGAGATAAAGTCCACTCCAGATAGAAGAAACATTGTAAGCAAGGATACAGTCTTCAGAGGAAATAAAAATGTTGTTTAGGGCGGTGCCCATGGCTCAGTGGGTAGGGCGCTGGCCTCATATACTGAGGGTGGTGGGTTCAAACCCAGCCCCAGCCAAACTGCAACAAAAAAATAGCAGGGCATTGTGGCAGGTACCTGTAGTCCTAGCTATTCCAGAGTCTGAGGCAAGAGAATTGCCTAAGCCCAGGAGTTGGAGGTTGCTGTGTGACGCCACGGCACTCTACTGTGGATGATAAAGTGAAACTCTGTACAAAAAAAAAAAAAGGGTTGTTTAATAGTGCATGTTGATGGTGGTTTCTTGGGAGATGTTGGAAACAGGTACTAGCAGTGGTGCTGGGTATTTATACTCATTTGATGTTCCTTGTCTGAGCAGAAATCATGTAGGGCTTCTGTAGGGCTATTTAATTTTTATGATGACTTAGACACTTTTGTAATATCAACTATGTCAGTAGATCACTAGTATGTTTATGAATAATGCATATGGAAAAGAAAGTTCCTGAGAATTCAATATTCCAACATGATAAATACAGTACTTTTGAATGAAAAAATAATGAAATTACCAACTCTGGACCTGTGAAGTGCTAAGCTTATATCCCATGGGGAAAGGGGAAAGACATCTACCTATGTGTGAATTTTTACTGAAGAAGTTAAAAAAAAGCACATCAGGGGACTTTTGAAATCATAGTTTTCACTCATATTTTCCAAGTCTATGTTATTATGAAAACAACTATGTAAAAGTCTTTTAGCCATATTTTTTAATTTTTTATCATAATCTAATGTTTATTTAATTCAATCTAAAACACATTTAAAATTAATTTTATAAAACTAAGGATAACAGTAACATATTTGGGATAATTTTAACTGTAACATTAAAAACAACAACAACAAACCCTAAATCTACCCTGCATTTAAAAAATCTCACAGATATGTATAAATTACTTTGAAATTATCGGTATTGCAACCACTTCTGATGTGTAATTTTAGGCTAAAACCTTTAAATTCATATGTAAATGGTAGATTCTTTGGCTTGATACTTAAAAAACAAACCAAGAAAAAACAAATTAAATATTTAATTTGATAGCATGATTTCTTGAAGCTTCATTTTTCTTTTTCTTTTTTTAATTTTTTTATTTCAGATTGATATGAGGGTACAAACAATTAGGGGACAGTATTTGCTTTGTTAGGTAGAGTCCCGATTGTGGTTTTGTCCTGAACTCCAAAGTGGTGCCTTATATCCTTATATTGTGCCCATTGACACAGTCTAAGCACACCAATCTCCCTCTCTCCTTCCCTTCTCTCCCTCCATGCTCTCCCTCTCCCCAACATAAATTGAATTGAGTTGTTTTCTTATGTGGGCGTGTATTAGATCCTCTACTGGCTTCATGTTAGTATTGAGTACATTGGATACTTGCTTTTCCATTCTTGTGATACTTTACTAAGAAGAATGTGTTTCAGCTCCATCTAGGTTAACACAAAAGATGTAAAGTCCCCATCTTTTTATAGCTGAATAGTATTCCGTGGTATACATATACCAGAGTTTATTAATCCATTACTGGGTTCATGGGCATTGAGGTTGTTTCTACATGTTGCGACTATAAACTGAGCTATGATAGGCTTTGTCTAGGCTTTTTACCATGATGGCTTTTTACCATCATCTCTTAGATTTATATCTTTTATCCATCTTGAGTCAATTTTATTTATTTATTTTTTGAGACAGAGTCTCAATATATCACCCTTGGTAGAGTGCTATGGCATTACAGCTCACAGCAACCTCAAACTCTTGGGCTTAAGAGCCTCAGCCTCCCAAGTAGCTGGGATTATAGGTGCCCACCACAACGCCCGTCTGTTTTTTTGTTGCATTTGTCATTGTTGTTTAGCTGGCCTGGGCTGGGTTTGAACCTACTACCTGTGGTGCATATGGCTAGCACCATAACCACTGTGCTATGGGAGCTGAGCCCATCTTGAGTCAATTTTATAAGTAGTGAAAGATGAGGGTCAAGTTTCAGTATTTTACATGTGGTTATCCAGTTGACCCAACTCCATCTGTTGAATAGGGATTCTTTTCCCACTGTATGATTTTGTCTGGTTTATCAAAGATCAGATGGCCAGTGGGGACTGGTTTCATCTCTTGGTTTTCTGTTTTGTTCCGTATGTCTATGTCTCTATTTTTGTGCCAATACTATGCTGTCTTGACTACTGAAGACTTGTAATATAGCCTAAGGTCTGGTAGAGTAATAACTCCAACTTTGTCTTTATTACTGAAGATTACCTGGGCTATATGGGGTTTTTTTATGGTTCCATGTGAAATGAAGAACTATTTTTTCCAGTTCTTTAAAGTATGATCTTGATATTTTAAAGCAGATTGCACTGAATCTGTGTATTTCTTTGGGTAGTACAGACATTTTAACAATGTTTATTCTTTCCAGCCAAGAGCACAGTATGTTCTTCCATTTGTTAATGTCTTCTGCTATTTCTTTTCTTAGGGTTTCCCAATTTCTTTGTAGAAATCCTTCACATCTTTTGTTATATATATTCCTAAGTATTTTCATTTTCTTTGAAACTACTATGAACAGAATTGTGTCCCTGATTTGCTTCTCAACTTGGCTGTTATTGGCAAATAAAAAAGCTACTGATTTGTGGACATTGATTTTCTACCCAGAGACATTACTGTATTTCTTGATGACTTCCAGGAGATTTGTGGTTGAGTCTCTTAGTTTTTCTAAATATAAGATTATATTAGTGGCAAACATTGGAAGTTTGGCCTCCTCTGTCCCCATATGAATGTCTTTGATATCCTTCTCTTGTCTGATTACATTGCCTAGAACTTCCAGAAATATATTGAATAGTAGTGGCAAAAGAGAACATCTTTGGTTTCAGTTCTAAGTGGAAAAGCTTTCAGTTTTATTCCATGCAGTATGGGATTGGCTATGTATGTATCATAACTGACTTCAGTCAGTTTAAGAAATGTGCCCCATGCCTATTTTCTTAAGTGCTCTTGTTAGAAAAGAATGTTGAATTTTATCAAATGCTTTTTCTGCATCTATTGAGAAGGTCAGATGGTCTTTGTTTTGCTTCTATTGGTATGGCAAATTACATTTATGAATTAGTGCATGTTAAACCAACTTTGCATCTTTTGGATGAAGCCTCCTTGATTGTGATGTGTAACTTTTTATTATGTAGTTGTAATCTATTAATTAATATTCTTACTGAGCATTTTTGCATTAGTATTCACTAGAGAAATTGGTCTGTAGTTCTAATTTTTAGTTGGGTCATTTCCTGGTTTTGTTATCAGGGTGATGTTTGCTTCATAGAATGTGTCAGGGAAGGATCCTTCCTTCTCACTGTTTTGGAATAGGTTCTACAGTATGGATATAAGATCTTCTTTGAAGGTTTGATAGAATTCTGGTTTGAAGCTGTCTGATCCCAGGCTTTTTGTTGTTGTTGGAAGCTTTTTTATTGTTTCTGTGATCTCAGTGCTTGATATTCATCTGTTCAATACATCTGTTTCTTCCTGGGTAAGTCTAGAAAGATGGTGTGATTATAGGTGTTGATTCATTTCCTCCACATTGTCAAATTTCCAGACATAGAGTTTTTCATAATAATCAGAGATGATCTTTTATACTTCTATAGTATTTGTTATTAACTTCCCTTTTTCATTTCTGATTGAGGTTATTAGCAATATTACTTTTATGTTTCTAGTTAATCTCCCCCATGGTTTGTCAAATTTTATCTTTCCAAAGAACAAGCTTTTTGTTCATTAATTTTCTGAATTATTCTTTTATTTTCAATTTCATTTATTTCTGATTTAATTTTGATTATTTCTTTTCTTCTGCTATGTTTGTAATTGGATTGTTCTTTCTTTTCTATTTTCTTGAAATGATTCATTAGGTTGTCGATCTACTCTCTACTTTTTCAATGTAGGCATCTAATGTGGTAAATTTCTCTCTAAGAACTGCTTTAACAATATCTCACAGATTTTGGCAGTCTGTAGATTCATTATTGTTATGTTCAATAAATTTTATAATTTCCTTTTTTATTCCTTCTTGACCCAACTGTCATCCAGTAAATGTTTGTTCAGTTTCCATGCCTTTGTGAGGGGATGAAAATTTTTGTTGGAGTTGAGTTCCAGCTTTACTGCCTTGTGCTCTGAAAAGATACAAGGTATAATTTCAGTTCTTTTATTTTTGTTTAGGATTTTT